CTTATATATTTATCAAAGAAAGTTTTTCAAAGAGCTTATATATGTATTAAAAAATATATTCCAAAGATCTTCTTTATTTATCAAAGAAAATTTCTCAAAGAGCTTATATATTTCTCAAAGAAAGTTTTTCAAAGAGCTTATATATTTCTCAAAAAATATATCCTAAAGAGCTTATATATTTCTCAAAGAATATATCCCAAAGATCTTATATATTTCTCAAAGAAAATTTTCCAAAGAGTTTATATATTTCTCAAAAAATATATCTCAAAGATCTTATATATTTATCAAAGAAAGTTTTTCAAAGAGCTTATATATTTATCAAAAAATATATTCCAAATATTGTATATATATATATTATATCTTAAAGAGTTTAAATATTATTTATGTATGTAAATATATTATGCCAATGAGTGTATGTATTTCCTAAATAGTTAAAATATTAGCCATAAATGCTAATCTACATCCCAGAGGTTAAATATAATTTATTTATTTCCCATAAAGTTTATTTTAAAATGTTTAATTAACTGTTAATTTGTTTGTATTAGGTAAAATATTTGCAGTTTTTTCCGCATGAATATATTATGCATATATTTATAAAGCTTATTAAAACTTAAGAATTTAAATTAATTTCCATTTTATGTTTTTCCCAAATATTATTGTCGTATTATTAAAACTATATATTCATTGTTCATATTTATAATGTATATGTATATAATTATTGAAAAACCTTATTTTTTTACTATAACCCAGCAGCGATGGGTAATTTTATTCAGCTATATTATATAATACATTGTTAAATCGATGTGTGTTGTTTTTGGTTTGATAAAAATAGTTAAACATAATACACATAAAAAATATATTTTACAAAATATTACATAACAATACGTAAAACATATTAACATTTAATTCAAAATCAAAATATTTATATTATTTATTGACACAACGATTATGCTAAATTATGTTCTCAAGTCTGTATGTATCTAAACTTTAATGGTATGTATCTATGTATTTTATGATATACATTTTTGAGTTACAGTAGGGTCTGATTTAAATTGGAGATATATATGAGACCAATATGAGACCAAAACTAGCATGAGGTCGAGGCCACTTTGATAATATTTACATTTTAAAAATACAAATTTATTAAATGTAACAAAATCACGTCTAACATAAATTTTAATTTACAATAGTACCTATAATATTATATAATGCATTATAGTCCATTTACAAATATTTGTCTTCGTGAAAATTTATAAGCAGGTACCTATTTGTTTAATGCGGTTTATTAGAATCAAAACAATAAAATAAAAAAGTTCTAACAATTTTAAATTAATTAATAAAATATACAAATCTAAGTTAAATTATATAATTCTTATACATAAATTTTAGCTATTACATAAAAGTCAGTTGGTAGGTAAAGCATTTATGCCTCGGGGGCTTATAAAGAATTATTGTATTTCAAAAAACGTGATCTAATATTGTTATATCTGAAAATTCGAAACTATGTTCTTGATTTTGAAGCTTATTTACATTTCACAAGATTTTTATGTTAAGCGTGAAAAACTGATTATGTAAAAAAACGAAAGAAATAATATATACCGAATACACGCGTATAAGTACAAAGTATAATAATATATTAATATAAAATATTATACTATGATAAATTTATGAAATATAACATTCACCGTAAATACTTGATTTACATTTTACTGTACTGCTATGGACACATAGTTAAACGCTATTGTAATCAACTGTTCGTCAACGTATCCTAATTTATGAACACTGATTTTAATTGATTGCTTGTATGTATTTTAGACGTTTGCGGAAAGACTGTACGGTCCAATGGCATGGACGATTCCTGTGTTTGTTGCTTTATCTACATTTGGCGCTGTTAATGGCATTTTGCTGACAAGTTCGAGGTTAAAAAATATGTTTTTTTTTACGTAAATTATAAGACTTTATAAGAGTGAAAACGTTCAAATGTCGTATTTTCATCCCCTAACAAATCGAGTATTATTGATAGACCGTACATAAATTATAGATATAATATTATTATGTCGTACAGTTTTTTTGTACGATAGTAGGTACTAGGTATAGATGTCTAACAGTTTTAAATATTAACAACATAGTTACTATCCTATGATCTATATTTTGCTGCTTCAACGACACGCATCAAATAGTTTGATAGGTCAATATTTAAAATTTATCATATACAATAACTCTCATTATCGTGTAGAACTGTAAAATGATTTTAAAAAAATGTAAAAACTATAGTGAGTAATTTTATAATAAATTGGTGCGTGATTCTGCACGGTATTGTCCATGATAAATGTATTAAATGATCGCAGATTTGCCCCTTATTAAACTCTATTAAATGTAAACTATACATATTTTTCACATACATACATTTAAATGGTTTTTACCAAATTTTAAACACAAGTCGAAAATAATATCCAATTATAACAACTATTTAACTATTTAACTATTTTAACTATTTTCTGTTAGGTAGGTACTAGTGGCAACGATATACAAATAAAAAATTTTTTGTTTTTTGTGAGCCTACCAATCCCTTTGTCAGGCCCTTATAAAAAAACAAAATTTAAAAAATTGCCTCAATGTGCACATTCTCGAGTACCTATAGCCAATATAGTATTACCTAAATGTCAAATTTCAAAATTACGAGTGTAATGAATTGTGGTAATGGATCATTTACAATTTACACACAATATTAAACACGCACTACTTTTTATTAATATAGATAAAATTATTAATCTAATAAAAAAAATTTTATACCTTTAAATAGCACAAAAAGCCAAAACATTTTAAAGATTATTTTATGTCTATTAATTATTAATATTAATATTTAGTAAAAATTTCAAATCACTACATTTTTGAATTAAGTACAATCAAAATCGATTTGACATCAAATTACTTTAATATTTTTTATATGTGAATAATTATTTATTTATACATTTGATTAATTCGTAAATTATATTGTTATGAAAATAAGTCATAGAAACATGGCTATAATATTATTATAACGATTCGAGAATTTCGTAAAAAAAAAATCATATACCTAAAGATACTATTATAGCAATGTTTAAACAATTTCATAAAACTTTAACATGAAATATTATGCACATATTATATATTTTAATATTTTATTATATTATTTATTTTTTTTTTTTTTTTTATTAAGGATAAAAGCTTCAACAACTAGGTCATTAGCCTGTAGTTAAGATTTACATTATTAATGTATATAAGTAGGATATGTAGTATTTACTTATATCATTATTATCCGTTCATTTTAATTCTGACTTACGAGTATAATTTTAAAATGTAAGTCAAATTTATGGTTAAATCAACTTTTATAACAGCGATAGCTTAGTGTAAAAGTCTACATATTAAAAGTAAAATTGTGACTTATCATTTTTAATTTGTAAAATACACATTAATCGTATATTGCTTATTGTATCTGTATGTATGTAGGTTGTTCTATGCTGGAGCTCTCGAGGGACAAATGCCACAAATCCTAACAATGATCCAAATCAATCGACTGACACCCACGCCAGCAGTAATATGCATTGTAAATATAATGATAAAAATAATATAATTATTTCATTTAAGTTGTATACGAGTACACGTTGTTTTTTTCATAAAAAAAAAAAATCAATCCAACAAATATTTTATAAGTAGCTATAATTATTATATTATAATATTATCTTCTCGTTTTCACAGTGCTTGCTGTCTCTGATATACTTGCAGATATCTAACATTTACGCTCTTATTAACTACGTGGGATTTGCGACATGGGTACGTTTGAACAATAAAATATAATCAAGTTAAATCAAACCTAACTTGTGATCACGTGCATGTATTGTATGTATTGCATTTATAATATCGTTTCAGTTAAGCATCGGTGTGTCAGTTTTGTGTATACCGTGGCTACGTTTTACTCAACCCGATTTGAAAAGACCGATCAAAGTCAATATGTTCTTCCCGATTATCTACATCGCTGCTACACTTTTTGTGACTATAATACCGATAATCGCTAGTCCGGTCGAAACAGGTGGGTGAACATATAATAATACCATACAAAGTGATATTCCCCAACATGGTCGTTCTTTTCTTAACGATGTATTATATTGTACCTTAAAAGTTAAATTTAAACATTTGGCATTTTTAACTAGATATACCTATTTAAAAGTTAAAAAACATATTGCTTATAAAACACATATTTTAGAGAGAAAAAAAAGATTTTGTTCTTGTCTTGACGATTGATAGCAATCGGTCGCATCGGTTTTATTATTAAAAATGCGATTAACACACCGGGCTGTGTCGTTGTAATGGCCCGATATCCGAATCAGTCACCAGACAATTGCGACCGATGCGTTGTCAATCGTCAAAATACCCAAAGTGCGATAAACGTGAACGCAAAATTTTTCTTTTTACAAGATATAATATAATTAATTAAATCTAATATAAAAATTAGTTGTTATTGTTTAAAAAAAAAAAATATATATTTATAATAATATACTTTCATAAATATACAAATAAATAGTTAAATAGTCGTGCGCTCCAAGTGTTTCTTAACAATCGCCGCATGACCCAAATAGATTTTTTATACTACGTTAGAGAAATATCTGTGGCAATAAAAATTTAATTTTTATTCGATTAATAATTTTTAAACCTATTTGTATACCTACTTAATGTATTATAATATAATATAATTTATATTTTTATGTATCCAAATACAAACAATTGGTTATTTTGAGTTATTATGCTTTGTGTTCAAAAGCTTCAGGATAATAATTCATAAAAATTGGTTTCACGTAAAATACATATGAACCTAATATTTAGTATAATATTTTTATATCCACTCAAATCATTTGTAGTATTTACATTTTAAAATATAATAATGAAATTAATCATATTCAAATCATTTTAGCACCCATTTCTCCTAAACCTATAGTTATTATAAAATTATGGATCTATACTTACTATTATTCATATATCTTGAAACATAAAACGTAACTCAGAAACCACTTATATAGTTCGAATTTCGGTTTATATGCATCAATATTTTCAAAAAAGTCGATAGATACAAAATATGAAGTTTGTATCAACATAACAATACAGAACAGTGCACTTCTAAAAGTGGTGTAAAAAAATTAAAGAATTTAAATATGGTTTATAATTAGATAACCATTATAGGATTTCCAAAAATCATAATTCAAATAAATAATTATTTAAGTATAAACTGAAGGAAAGAACATGAGAGGCCAATCATTCATTATGTAATGGAAACATGTGTAAATATATAATATATTATATACAAATGTTAAAGATGTATCTACTTAATAAATTTTATTAAATTTAAAAAATATTAAAATACACTTAGACTTACGAATACAATAGTCAATAAATAAAATAGGTACCTATAAACTCATACCTACGTAATGTAAGAAATTAGATGAACGAAAAGGTGGTAGGTACTTATCATAAAAATATCTATTAATAGTTTTCCATTTTACAATGCAAATCTATTGTGTAATTATTTATTTTTGAAAAATGAAGAACTAGGTAGGTACCTACATAAATATAAATAAAAAAAAAAATAATTTTAAATAAAAATCCAAATTTAAATTCTTGAGTGATTTACAAAATATGATGAATAGCCTGAAAATATTGCAGAGTGCTCCGCTTGTAAGCACCTTCCTCTCATTGTGTTTTCAATATTTCAATCTATAATGATTTATTATTGTTGAATTTAAATATGTGATTCTAGGGTACGGATGTTTAATGATATTGACCAGTATACCAGTGTATGGTGTGTTCATTTTTTGGAAAAACAAACCTATGATATTCCACAAAATCGTCGGTAAGAAATACGTGTATATTATTATAATTAGAGTTGAGATGTAAAATTTTGCTTTATTTTTAAAAAGTCAAAAATATAAGTTAATGAGTTAAAAATCTATTTCACAGATTTAAAATTAAAAACACATTATTTTGATTTGCATATACCTACTGCATATTTTATCATTTCGAAATTTTTTAGGTCATATATTATTTAATTTAAAAATTTAATAATACATCAATTTATTTTTTGTTTTATATTATTCGTTCAAAGTTATATATTTTGTCGATGAAAATTTTCTTGATTTTATTTTTATTTTTATGTATTTTTTTTATCGACTATTGCGATCGTACCTATTTTATACGTCCGCTGTCTACATATTCTTATCATAAATGCATATTATTTTAATTTTCTATAGTTTATTTTTAATGTCATATTTCAAAGATTTTTTAGAGCATATAAATTCTAACCCAAGGCCTAAAGCCCTAAAATTATTAAAAAAAATTAATACATTCATCTCATAAGTTTATACCTATCGGCTATCACAGAATTACACTAACACCAACACAATACACTTTGCCATAAGTGTGTGTGCATAGTGTATTCAGTATTCACCACTTAATAGTTAATACCTACCAAGTGTTTTGGATTTAAAAATTGAAATGAACTTAACACATCTGGGGTTTTTTTAATTCAATAATTTCAGGATGTTTAACACGTTACCTCCAAATACTACTGATGGTAACCACGTCAAAATCGCCGGCCAAAGTTTAAGACACAAACATTTTATCATAATCATCACAACAATACGTCTATACAACCGTTAACCAACAATAATAAATCCAATAAATAATAATCATAATAATAATTAATAATATTATCTTAATATGTTATGTGAGTTGTAATTTATAACTTATGTATAACAGGTATTTTATAAGTATACCTAAAACTAAACAGTACCTACCTACCTAATATAAAAGACAATAGATTTTATATTACACACGTAACATAATATATTATAAGTGCTATTTAAAAATATATTCATGTTTTATGTAGGATTAAGTGTATATGATGTTACCCAACATAAAAATTAATAAAAATATTAACATTATTTATGAACGTATTACCTATACGGATTACGGCTATACTTAGTGATTATACCTAAAATAATTGTTTTTGAACTAAATTAATACATATTGTTTTTATACTAAATACCAAATCAGTATTCTGAAATGACAATAATTAACTACCTATTGGTTATTTATAATAATGAAAATTGATTATTAAAATGAAAATCTATCTAATAATTTTATGATATCTAAGAATTTTTTTTATTTTCGTTTTAAATTAAACTCAAGTGGTTGTAATAGAGTAATATGCATTTGAACAACGCATATAAATCTATATACAAAATTAAAATTATATTTTAATTGTTAAATATTTGAATAAAAAATATCTATAATAATTTAAAAAATAATTTTGTATTATTGTTATTTGTTTTGTTTTTTTAGTTATTTAAATAAAATAGGTAGGTATAAAACTATTATTTTTGACCATTGTAGTTTTAAACATAAATTAGTATTCTTTATTTAAATATTAATTTAGTATAAATTATTTACAGAAGATTGAAGTTATATCTATACTTATTGAAGTTAATTTTATAATTAAATATGAAAAAATTTATGGAAAAGTAGAACATTTTAAACCAAATAGATTACTAAATATTTAGCTCTAATTTAAATAACTTAATCAAAGAAATAATTAATTATTATATATCATAATATTATATTATACATTTCATCTTAATGTCCTTAATTTATTAACTACCAGCCTAATTAATTAAAATCATAAAAATTTGTTATTCTTATAACATAATAATAAATTAACTATAATAGTGGGTCTAGCAATATTAATTAGTTATTAGGTGCCTTGAGTTATTAGAATTTAGAATTGATTATAGGTACTTTGTAGTGATTATTAAAATATTTATGTAAACCTACTATTAATTTATAATTAATCAATGCCTAAGTATAAGTATTATTTTTTAGATTGTTAATTAATTTATAATTGTTAATTTTAACCATTTAAAGTATTTATGTTTGGTGTCTGATAGCAATAATGTAGGTATAAACATTTTTTTTTTCAAATTTAATTTTGTTTCAATGTCAAATCATTGATATTTTCAACAATCAACAAGAAAGTATATGAAAACTGTTAAACTTGCAACATTTGAATTTAAGCGTTGATAAATAACATTTATAAAACAGAAATTTATTTTTATAAAACATCAACATATTGTTATAATTTTTTTTTTTCATACAATCATTAGACGATCAAAGAAATTAAGTTTTAATATCTATGAAATTTATAATATTATGTATGGTTAATGTTTACAATTTTGTATAATTTTTAAATTTATTTTTTTTGTAAAAGATTTTGTTTATTAAATTACATAATTAACTACCTGCTTTGCTATTTACTGTTTTAGGTAAGTAGGTACCTATGTTTAATCTAAAATAGTAATTGTTACCTATTTGTTTTCATACCAATGTTATGTATTTTGTTATTGAAAAAAACATACATCATTATTTGTATTATTTTTTATAAGATTTATCGTATGAAGTTATTTTAATTCTATAAACTATAAAGTATACCTAATAATCATCTATCTTCCAGTAATAAATTAAGTATGTTACTTACTTATTGTCATAACATTTTTTAATCATACTTGCTACTTGGGTATAGGTACACATTACATAAGCCCATGCATTTTATTCATAGTTTTAAGAGCCTATTTACTATAACAATTAATATTTAATACATTTTCATAAGATTATAAAAAAATGTTATACAAAAATATTTTACTATTATCATTATTAATTATATACATAAAAAGACGCAATAAGTTTTATTTTATATAATTAAACCTGTTAATTTTTTGTTCTGTTATAAAAATTTATATTAGTACTAGGTATATTAGATGATACCTATAACTATTTTGTACTTTAAGTTTAAGCATGACTTATATACAATAATTTAACTACATTTAAGACGTATGACAATATAATTTATCATATTTAAATACAATATGTATTACTATTCTAATATCCCATATTATTATTCAATTATTGAGTAACAATATTTACATTTTACATATTATATTACCTATAAAAAGTGTTTACAAAAATGTTTTTTTCAAATAAAATACAAGGTATGCATTTATTTATTTGTTATTAATTATTACCTACTTATTATACTACTAAGTTGATACCATAAATTATAGATTTTTTTCTGTATGTGTAATAGAGGAGTAGGTGAGGAGTAAAATATGAAAAATTTTACCTATCACAACTGAAGTTTATTGAGAAAAGCAGGTTTTTCTACCCTTCAAATAATTTACCAATAATAAATCTATTAATGTACAAAGTGATCCTTGAAATATTTAGAATTGTAAAATTAGTGGAAAAATATCAAGTTAATCTTGATAGTTACTAGTTAATTCTATCTGAATAATAATGTGTATATGTGAACAATTCAAAATGTTATTGTACATAGATGGGCATTAATTAATAAAGAAGTACCTAACTTTTAAACATAACTTAATACCTATAGCTTAATTAAATTAAATATTCATTATAACTATTTAGGTATTTCAGTTAATTTGAAAATAATAAATACTAAGTAGACGCTAAATTAAAAACTTGTTTGCATAAATCTATAACTAATTACAATGAAAAATTACTTACTATTTCTATCACAATTAAGTGATTATGTAGGCAATAATTCTAAGCAAAAGTAAACAAATATATAATTTTTGATTCAATAATTTAGTAGATACAAACTTATAAATGACTAAAAGTAGTATGAATTAATACAACATTATAGGTTATTTAAGACATTTTTAAGTTGTATTATCACTAATGAGTAATGTATTAATATTTAACCTGAATGATATTAATTACAAACTAATCAAACAGTTTTGAATCAAGTTAATTTCATATTTTTTTTATATTAAATTAAAACTTCTCAAGTCAAATAAATTATTTGGTAATTATATTAATAGTTGTAACTCGATATAGTTGGAACATTAATTTAATTAAGCTAACTGATATTAACGGCACACCTTTGATACATATTTTAATGACTAATTAATAATACATCCAACTGTCTCAACTTATACAGAAAAATAATATTCTAGCATAATTTAAACCAAAATTAATATGTTTAAATACATAATGAATTAGAATTTTAGACAGGGAAAGGAAAAAAAATATAATTACCCCTTATACACAGGGAAACAACAACCTTCCCAAATTTTACTCATGAGTTGACTTATTAATAATTTAATTATTTTTATGGCTAAATATAATATTACCTATATGTATTACATTTACACTTACCAAGTTTCTTTTGTTGAAATAAAATTTATTTTAAAAAGTAATGAAATGTATGCTCATGTTATACTATTCATCTATAATAACACAAATTCAAGTGAACACATTGAAAAATAGATTGATCTATATTTCTTAAGAATTATTACAATTTTTTCTTCTTTAATGTGATTACTAAATAAAAATTTAAGTAGATTAAATTAAATCTTAAATCAAATTATTTATTTAATTTCAAAGTCTATTAACTACTTTATTTACATCTATTTTATGATAAAGATAGTTATGAGTGTTATGACATAAATAACTAATTGGAAATGAATAGGAATAATTTTTTCAAGTAAGCTATGGCTGATCAAAAAAAAAAAAAAAAAAATAGTTAGGTATTAAAATAATACTGAAAAATAAATAAAACATAACATATTACCTAATTAAATCATTTTATTGTGGATAATCAAATTCATAATTAAATACAATTATATTTTATATAATATTATTAATTACTACATGGAAACAAAAAATACACTTTTTTTAAAAATATATACTCATATTTACTTCTCTTCAGTTTCTTCGAATGGGTATGGTGGTACAAAAGCATTGAAGAAACAGTTATCTTGTAACTAAAATTTAAAAAAAAAATGTTAATTAAAAACTATTTAAAAAATGTGGTTATTTGTGATGACTACCATAATTTCCAACATTAAATAACAAGCAATGACTAAAATTCAAACGTCCTATTGATTCAAAATTTATGACATAAGTTAACATAAGCAACTACTTAACTTACAACACATAATTGTAATACTATGTGCTTTCATTGGCTAAATTAAAGTTAAAATGTCAATATTAACCAAATAACTTAATTATATGCTTTTTTTAACGAAAATGACTAAAACTAATAAAAAATTTGTTTTAACTTATTTTTAATTAAGTACTAACAATAAATTTGATATGAGTACATCTAAAATTATATTATTATTTTTTTGTACATAATATAAAGAGATGATTTTTTTTAAAAATATAAAAAGTTTGCAATAATTTTAAATTATGCCAATATAATTTTTAACTTATGCCTATTATTAATTATACTCAGATATTGATTTAATTAAGAAAAATAAAATGAAATGTACACATAGATATTTTAATTCAATTATTGTGCAAATGCAGAATAAGTTTAAACACAAGGATTACGATTTTTTAGATTTTTATTGAACACAGCTTATGGTGATAAAATCTTATACACATATATTTATAGGAATGACACAATTGGATGTTAACACCAATTAACATATAAATGATTGAACATAGTATCTACTTTACACTATATACTGGTATCGTATTGTATATATTATAAAAATATGATATCAATAGCAATACTTACTACGTAGATGGACACTGCAAGTGAAACAATTCCGCCTACTAGTACTAGATTGTATTTAGCATTGGTTTTGCTGTGGTATTCTTGCCAAGGTACCTTTGGGACTGGCATGTCATCCATCGTCAGAGGTTTGTAAGTAGCGTGGTGACCATCGGCCTTGGACCGTACAGCCGTCCTCAAAACCGCTATAAAATCATATCAATAACAAAATAAAAGTTACGATCAACGTTCGTCGTAGAAGTTTGGTGAACATATTTTCGAAATTCTATAGACTACATCGTCCAGTCAGTCAATATTCATACGACCGTTAGTACTTACAGTTGGATTTCTTCAATTGCGCTAATATTACTCGCGACATTGTGGAGATGATTTTGGTTTTGGCCTTTCGAGAAACACGTTAAGTGTGTGACGTTAGTCTATCGCTATTCGCTAGTCACGGCAAGTCTAAAATAGTATCGAAATACAGACACACGAGACACGACCTTCGCAAAGAGATACGAAGAAAAAAGTTCACTCTTTCTACTGCCGCCGATCATTAACAGCTGCTCGATAATAAATTGATAACGCGACGCCCGAAATCCGTGGTTTTTAGTTGCTGGTGTTCTCACATGGATGCTCTATTGTGGTTAAAACGTTGGAAATGCAGCAAGTTAGTTATTTTTATGTTGGTAACACCACAAATAAATTTTTTATATTTTTAACTTTTATTCTCATGTTTATTCAATTTTCTTAGAACTGACTAGTGACTACGGAGTACAGACTACAGACACAGACTACAGAGTACTGACAAATGACGATTGACGACAAACACTTTACACTTCTAATAGTTCTATAGTCGTGTACTTGTGTACCAAGTGATATAGATATGTACTTATGTAGGTATCGAAGTCTGTAAGTGACAACTACTTAATATGGAGTATTATAATTTATAAGCATCGGATTCAATTTAAGATATACATTATAATTTAGATTATTCAAGTATATCTCTTAAATCGTGGTATCGACTATTGAGTCTAATGAGTCCTTAGAATACAATATATATATAAAGTATTACTTTATATCTTTAATAATTTATTGGAATGTCCTTAATAGAGGGTGTTTTTTTTTTTCATTACCCTGTATATGTAAATTACGGTTGAATAGTTTTAAACCGCCGTTTATGGTGTATGGGACTATGGAAAGATCCGGTGATTATTAATAGTACACATGCAATTCAAATGTTCATAAATGATTAAGAAAATTCTAAATTTTGATCCATACAGCAAGGTAAAAAATCCAACCTACAGCATGTTAACACGACAAAGGGTTCAAGTGTCGTGTAGGTAGTACCTCCACTATGTATGAGTGATCAGTCTCAGACCCAATAACCTCTACACACGAGGTAAAAATAATTGACATTCAAGTCTTAGTAGTTAATAAAAATGTATGTGCAATATTAATAATAGTCACCAGTTAGGATTTTTTATTACCCGAATAGTCAGGTCCACAGACTTGAAATAAATAAAATTGGCAGTTTTTATTATTAAATGTATTTTGTTTGTAACTCAATTTGCATTTCTTTTTCTGTTATTCCTTTGTGTTACTACTAAATTGATGAGCTTGATATAACTATGCTGTTATTATATAATATAGTTTCACATTTAAAGATAAAGTAGCCAAAGATATCTTATTAGTATATAAACAAATCAAGTCATTATATTTAATGCATTAGTATATTATTTTTTTGTAGTCAATTTATGCACTAATTCTAAAAACATTTGGTCTAAAAATAACATAAAATTACTTGTTCAAGAAAATACATAGATGGAAAATAATATAAAAATATAAAATAAAATGGAGAAAATAATTACACAAAATCTGTTAAAATATGTACATTATGCAAGTAAAAGTATGACTAAGCCTTTTATAAATAAAATTAAAAGATTAAATTGTGTAAGTAAAAAGTTGACACAAATATTATACATAAGTTTAATTGATAAAAAGTGAAACAAAATATTTATCTTAGACCTGGACCTAGTATAGTGGGCCTAGAAGAACGTTTCTCATGTTCTTTCTTCTTGTTTGGATCTGGTAAAAAACACTTCCACATTCGCAGGGTCTCATCTGCACCAGCTGAAAGTACTGTTGAACCATCTGGTGACATGGCCAGATTCAGAATACGATTTGTGTGTCCAGTAAGCTCAGCAACCTTATGGATAAAATAAAAAATAAAAATATTATTCAACTGATGATACTTAATGCACACATGTTTTGTTATTAATACTCACCTTTGTCAGCGAAGGGTATTTCCAAATTGTGAGTTGATTGTTTGCAAAACCATGTGCCGATACCAATTCTCTGTACGTTTTTGACCACAAAATAGCGCAAACCTGAGAGTTGGCATTGACCGAATTAATACACTGACCGTTGTTGCAATTCCAAAACCTAATAGTTCGGTCGGCTGTACCTCCGCCACTAGCTAGTACATTGGTTTGCCATGGACACCAGTCCAATGCTTTAACGGCAGCTTGATGTTGGCTAAAGTAAAAACATGGAAAATTATACTTTAGTACACATTGACATTTCTAAATATCCTAATATTACCTAAAACTATATATTGGTTCAGATTGGTAAGTTGCTTGGCCAGGTAAGCCACTGTACACATTCAACAAGTTATCATTACCTCCACTGGCTAGATAACGACCGTCAGTTGACCATTTAAGACCACAAACCTATACAAAATCAAATTAGGTTAGGTTTAATATTTTGTAACATCAAAATATATTTAACAAGGATTGGTACATACTTCTTGAGTGTGAGATTGAATTGTACCAGCAATGTGTTCTCTCAGTCTAACATCGTTGTGAACAAGTTGTCCATTTCTACAACCTGTAGTTAGTATATGACTGTTCCATGACATAGCACCTACTCTTGAACTGTGACTGTTCATTATACGCAGCCGTTTTGTCTGTGATGCATCCCATAACTAAATCAGTAAATAATGTAATTAGTTCACTGTTATATAATGTCCAATAGAAAAAATGTTTTTACATACTTGTACAGGTCCTAAAGCAGTTCCAACACCTAATAGGTTTCCATTAGGTACCCAGCTCAAAGAAGTGACGTAATCTGCACCTTCTAAATCTAACAATTGGTCAATGTCACCAGTGTCAGCATTCCAAAGATATACACTAGTACCTAAAGCAACAGCCAATATGTTGGAAAAGCTCCAGTCAATTAAATTTAGATCTGTAAAAAAAGAAAACCGTTAATTATAGTTACATATATGTAGTTAATAGAATATCATACAATAGTCATCAACGATTTCAGGAGCATCCAAAATACGGTCTGGTGCATGTGGTATATAACGAGTAGCTCCACGTATATTCATGGGAGTCTTGGATTGGCTATAAACTACTTTTAAAGCATTTTGATAACCCTAAAATAATTATTAATTATATATTTATTCTTATACCAAGCTAATTTATTACTATACATCTGGAGGCGCCGGTGCTTTGTTCTGATAGGATAGAACACGAACATTATTAATATCACAACCATGGAGATTCTCAGACATAGCTTTTCTATAGTCTGATTGAGTTGGACTTAAGTCAAGGTTTTCATTTTCTTGGTTCATCTATGAAAATAAGATCAAGTAATTTGTTAAAATAAAAATCTTAAATACATTAAAATATTTAATAAGAATTTGTAATTTACTTTAAAATGACTTATGTCAAAATTTGTAGACATTCTGGAAGGAATGAACCTGTCACCACCCGGTGTTTTAGGTTTAGCTGGTGTATTTGATGCTGATCTTGAAGCTATTAAAATAGTTTAAAATTTAAATGCATGTAAATTTATTGTAGAATATTTTTATTTTTTATTTTAAAATGTTTATTTACAATCTATATTTAATATAATACAATAAGTAAATTTGAGAAATAGAATTTTTGACATGAGTTCACATGATAAGAGAAAATATTTAAAAATTAATATTTATTAATGTATCCAACTGTATTTACCTGTTTTTCTCATTTAGTATAGGTAACAATGTGCAAACATATTTATATTTTTTTTATTTATTTAAATTGCATTAGGTATATTTATTTTATTGAAATAAATGATAACATATAATTTTGTTAGTATGGGCACCAAGATTCAGAGCACACATTTAAAATTATGTATTTTACCAATCTATTACATTTAAATTATAAAAATACTTAAATTCAATATAAGAAATAAATTATTATTCTTTACTTTGTATGGAAGTAGATGTATTTTTAAAATTAACATTAATCAATAGTTCAGGAGAATTAACATTTAATTTTCAAGGTTTTAATTTATTTCTTTTAAAAAAATCTATTAATATGAATTTTACTCATTTTTGATGAATAATTTTAATAACTTTGTGAATTATTTTTGATAGCTAGATTTTAATAGCAATTGTTAATATAGATGTTTATTAATAAATACTATAAAACAAATTATAGTATTTGATAATAGTTTGTATAAAAAACTCATATTGATAATTATAGTGCCATAGACGCAAGTATAAACAAGAAAATTTTACTAACCTGGTGATTTCGATTTATTGGGCGTTTTTGATGGGGTCTTCTTGACAGGCATGAAATCATTAGTTTTTCTTGATGTATTTGCAGAACTATCAGAATAAACCATGATCAAAACATTAACATAATGCACACATTTCTTAAAATGTACATAAATGCAATACATTAGCATACACATACCTTGAAGTTTCTAAGCTTTTCTTCATCCAACGTGGAGCTGGACCACTGGTGATTGGTTCATCCATTCTCACGGCACTTTTAAGATCATTGACAAAAGTGAATTGAGACATTCTAAGTGGAATGTAGCAATAGATAGGTATATTAATATATGTAAATGGTAAAATGAAACCTTTTGCTGTGGAGTAAAAAAAAAAAAACTATTAACTAAGTACTTTGATCACAAGAAATATAACAAACAAAAGAAAAACGTAATTAAATTGTGCAATAGCTTAGAATTATTGTTTGGTTGCTGAGATCATAAAAAAATTGTTTTCATTTACTTACCTGTGGATAGCTATAGAAGCTGGATATAAGTATAATGTTATTTTATTCACTTTGATAACAAAATATTATACATAACAATTAAAGGATTCAAATACAAAAAAAAAAGATTATTCTTTAGAGGTCAATCACAAATGATGTGTAAATTAAGGAAAACAAAATAATATAATAAAAATGGGTTTTTCAGCCGTTTGACCGAAGAATATTGACCATAGTCTGTTATGCTTATGACAAATTATAGTATTGTCCGATATTTATAACAGTCGGTCGAAATGGATTTATTTTTGGACAATAAATGAAAAATGCAAGAACGTAAAATTAAAAATAATAAATAATGGAATTTAAGATCAAAGTAGATAGTAGGTGAAACGGCCGTTGTCCGTTAAATATACGGTTTTAAATGTTAGGCGTATACTTGTATTGATAAGAGAACGACAATATAGTATGACCACATCAACAATATTGCATGGATATCTGGGAAAACATTGGACTGCTCAATGGTCATTGGTTGGCTAACACTTAATAAGCTACTGCATTTTAAACGATTTTTGAGAATATGGTACTATGGTAATATAAAATTGTATTTGTTTGGGTATTTACTATTTTCAATTTTGCTTACTCACCAGTTTCATCATCAAATTTTTTTTGAAAATATTAAGATCTACTCGTATATCAGCAATAAGTTATGGGTAAAAAAAAAAAGCAGTAATCTATAATTACATGGTAGGAAGTCTTACAATAGTGGCTTTACAGTTTATACCATAGAAATTAAAATCGTAAATTTATTGAAGGCACAATTTATATTTTTTATTTTTATAATTAATATCTATAAATAGTAATGATTATAGGTAAAAATTAAATTATATGAAGGATTGTGTATAAATAGATATATAAATGTGTCTATTTTTATATTAATTTTTTTTTTAGTTAAACGTTGCGTCAACGATTTTTTTATCCTAGTTCAGGGAAAACAATAAAAAAAAAAAATGTGAAATTATTATAAAACTGTTAGAAATTTAGAATTTCATTTGAGTAATCTAAAAAGCATTAATTTTATTATTTGAAATAAAAAATAAACTGCACCTAGGTACATAAAAAATAAAAAGTATTACACTTATACTATCAATTATGGCTTTATATTATTTATATTTTGTTTTGTAAGAAATTTAACCTTTTAAAATTGTACGTAGTTGATAATCCTTTGATAACTTTGCAAATGTTGTTACTTGTTGCCCGTTAGTTAAAAACTTAATATAAAGAATTCTTAAATTTCTCTGTAATAATACTTTTCTTCGATATATTGCATGTAATATTTAAAGCCTTTTCAATGATGATAGTTTTACACGAAAATAAATTTATAGTTTCTCTTCTCTATTTTTATCAAAATTACCTACTTTAGAAATTTCTACTGAGCTTGTTATTGGATAAAAATGCCAATTTAGAAGTACCTTATCTTAACTCCCAGAATTGCATCATAATATTGTAAACATTTATGAGAAAATATAAATATTTACAGTTCATAATAATTTATATTAAATTAACAATATAATTCTCATAATAATGATTAGTAAGTATATCGAAATTAAGTTGTTGTATTGACATTGAATTTTAATATTTTTACTATAGATTATTTTACTTAATTTTTCATTTTCTGGAAGAACAAAAATCATACTTATTATAAGTTATAACAGCAAATTCTTTTTTTTTTTAAGTTTTCCTGACATAGTCATCTAAACTTAGAGTTTACAAAATGAATTTTTTATTTTTGACATTTAGAAAATTCGTAGTATAAATATTTAAAAGCCAATAGAGAAAGTTGAAAAGACATTCTAAGGAACGTTGTTCTATCTTTTAAAATAAATAATATTTCAATAAACTTAAATTACACTATTACAGCCTAAAGACTTCAAAAAACTGTATTTTTGAAAAAAATTTATTAAAATGCACTATTATTGTGAAGAATAGTTATGAATTTTGAAACGTTAGATACACGAAAAGGTGTGTTGCAAACAAAACTACATCCATAAAAAAAAAAAATCAAAAAAATTCGTATTATTTTATAACATTCAAAAAATTATTTATTTTTTTAAATTGTTTTTTTTTTATTCTTATGAAATTAATCATTTCTAATAATGTTTGAATAGATCAGCAGACCCGTGATTTTACGGAGTCTATACAAAACTTTAAAAAAAGTATATATCGTTAATCATTAAAAGTCAAGAATGATAAAAAAAATTTAAGATCATAAAGCTTTTTTAAAATTTTTTTATCACAATATTATTTTAATTTCTTAAATATATATTATTAAGAATAGTTCTCACTTCTCTCTTTTACTATATGCAATCAGATATTCGAAATATGTAGACTACTTATAAAATATTACCTATTAACATATCAATATACTATCGTGAACTTATTCACACTGTTCTACAGTAAGACAATATTAATTCAAAAGGTAATGTTTATTTTATTTAAATTCATATACATATGAGTAATGGGCCCCACTGAGGAGACACGTGTGGGAGGGGGGCTAGGAGTTGAGTTTCTAAAAACAATTATAAGATAAAAAAAAAAAATTAATAACATTTCTATTGTGTATGCTTGATTAGAATTAAATTATTTTGCGTTAATAGAGGTGATAAAATAACACTAATATACTAAATGCTATACTTGTCTTAATATGTAATATTATAATAATTAAATTTTAATAATATAATAATAGCAATGTTTTTGGAAAAAATTAAATCAACTTAACGTAATAACTGCAGCAATAGTGAAATAAATAACTTAATAGCAATATCAATAAACACATCATGATACATACTTAGTGGTATAAGCCGACAGATTGTCTCCGTTCAGGATCGTTTTTCGTTTACAATGATATACAAACGAATTCAAATTTAACATTATATTTATTAGGTATAGTGTTTTATTCAGCATCTGCTGTACAGAAGAACGGTACCCATTATTGTTCACTTTTTTTTTTAATAAATAATATAATGTGTAAACTGCGGTGATAATTACACTATAAATTACAAAGGATGTCAATAATTAAAAAAAAATATTAAGCTACACCAAACCTCAAGCTAAAAAAATAAATATAGAAAATCATCCTATTCCAAAATTTTCTATACCACCTCCATCTCGAAGAAGCTATGAAGCCCCCAGTTCAAGCTCAAATGAAAAACCGTCATATGCCGAAACCACAGCTAACAAACTACCACTCGATCAATCTCTACACATCATCACCAAATACCTCGATGAATTAAAATCTATACTTAACCCCCTTCTTACTGCTTTAACATCCCTAATATTTAATAAACAAAATCACACTCCCCATCGTTCCTACCCCATAACACAAACACGACAAAATATATTATATTATATTTATAATTCTAAATTGTTATTAATAACTAACTTGTTATAACATGTAATATGTTGATACATTTTAATTTTAATAAATAAAAAAAATAAATAATATCATTAACACAAAAAAAACAATACACAGTTATTATAGTTGTTCATATTGTGATATATTTTATTTAATCATAAAAAACTAAATGCTCGAAATCACGAGAATGGAACACAAAACATGCGTTCTATCTCAAAATAAATTAAAATAAATATAACTTTTAGACATTTAAAAACGGTAATGTTATCTTAGCACATCATAATTAATATTATTATATTTAACTGTAATAATGCAAAATAATATCTACTTTATAATAAATTATACATACGATTCAATATTTGTAATAATTGTGTAAAATGTTTTGGAAGACTCGTTTGCGTTTAAAAACCTTTGTGTTAACATTGTTTACATTGGAAGACATATTTTTCAATAATATCACAAAATTATAAATAGATGCTCACTCTTTCTAAACAGATATAATAGTTGTATAATACAATGTGGAATCTATTTAGTTTCAGCCAACACCTGGCGAAGTCTGTCGATGAACATGTGAGCATGATGTGGCTGAAAGATTAACGCCGGCCGCATTCTGATACCTACAACTCCACATCCTCCAGATTGGACTCCTGATTTAAAAATGAAAAAAACATAATAAAAACTGTAGATTATACTCGAATAGTTACAGAATTTAATAATATTATTTTTTTTTAATTCATATATGTTTATAAAGACGAACCTTAAAGTCAAAAAAATTATTTAATGATTGCATAAGAAAGCACCGATTATACCAACGTTTACATTTTACATGTTGCACAATTGTGTACACACTATGGTTTAACATACATTATTTTTATTTAATATCAGCTGATAAGCAGATTTTCTAAAATGATTATTTTTATTCAAAGAAAATCTTCAACAAATAAATGTTTACATTTCCGACAAATATATACTGATATAGGTACATTATTTAATAAAGTCTTATTATTTTTATTAAGTAATTATAATTATACTTATATTAAAAATATACTAAACATGGTCAATAAATGTTAATGTTAGATTTACATTGTCTACTGATGAATTTTATTCTCTAATGTAATAAAAAATAATAATTAACTATCAACCCAATTAAAATTCAATAAAATAAAAATAATTGACTTGAGTTAGTAATTATACTGATCGCAGAATATAAAATAACGATTGATGAGCGGATATAAAACTTGATTATCTATGTTATTGTCCAATTATTAGGTGGCAATTAACACTTATTTAAATATCTGCTAATAATATTAACAATAAATGATGAAAAAATTATGGATAATGCATAAAAATTAAAAAAGAAAAATAAATAATGATTCGAAAATAATAAATACTTAATAATATTCTATTTTAACATGTAAATATTACCCATTATTTTAAAATTACATTTAAATAGTTTATATATAAAATAATAATAAACGATTTTAGTCTTTGAACAATACTAAATGTTGTATATATTTATAATTCAATATAAAGATTAAATGATTAAAATGTTATCAAGTACCTAGAGATATTTAAAAGTATAATTGTATTATAAATTATTATATAATGGAGTATTTTGTTTATGTTCTTACTATTAAGTGTTTCCTATCGTAAGATATTTTTACAATGGCTTTAGATAATTTAAGCAATATATTAAACAAGTATATACTGTCGAATACTATATACTATATAGATATCCACTAAGTAATTAACATTATAAAATACTATACGAAATATAGTAACATGGAAAAAATATAATAATATAGATATATTTTATAAAGTAAGTCTCTATCATATAAGTACGATCCAAGACATTTGCGGACAATAAAAAAAATCGGCTCTGGAATACTATTTTACCGACATCTAGATTTGTTTCGATATATTCCATGACTTTTTTCTTTTTAAAAGAATGTATAAATATAACCTCATTTTTAAGTTTTATGGATCATTTTTCGTTAAAATAAGTAGTTAAAAAAACAGAATAACTCATATTTTGTACTTAGTAAAAGTATAATAAAATATTTAATTTAAAAAAACTGTGTAAATGTACATTTTTTTATAATTTTTTTCTCTGATAGATCATTTATTTTTAACAATGTTTTAATGTCAATAATATATTCAGTATAAATATTTCATAAACAAGAATATCTAACTCTAATTATTATTTGTACAAACAGCTCGCCATTCATTATCATCTAGTACAACAAAAATGTCTGAATATTTATCCGGGCGTTGGCATCATTCGTTCCCTACTGCTCCCAAAAAGAAATTATGCTCGTAGTTGAGGCAACATAATATTTATTTTTACGTTGCCTCACCGCGTGTTTGAACACAGTCCTGTCGGTTGATGTTCGATAATTAAAGAATAAATTGTGATAGGGTATAATAGTATAAATACTATGCAAATTGATTAAATCTCAAAAGGAACAGACATTAAACGATAAACGTACCTATATCCTATCTACTTCACAATAAGTTGACAAAGTCGGCTAAATTGAATTTTAAACGTCACCCATTAACTTGAAGTATACCAAAGACGTTATAGGTATTAGTATATATTACTCAATACGAGAGGTATGAAAATAACATAACAATATTACATATAAATCATAGTAAAAAGTCATAGAAAATGGATTTAATTTATAATGTTGTAATTTTTGAATTTTGTAAGATAATACTCGTAATACGAAAAATAAAATACGCATTAAATGCATCATAAGATAAACACAAAATATAGGTACACTATTAATTTATCTAAAATATTATTACAATATTTACCTTTGGTTAAAAGTCTATTAACGATGTCGTCTCGGAGTTTGGCATCAGCAGCGTCGAACGTTATGAATGTACCGCGACCTCTGGTAGAGTTTATTAGAGCCGGATATTCGGCTTCCAAGTCTCTGATTCCAGACATTAGTATATCACCAGACTTTTCGACCACTGATAATAGATTATCCCTCTTAATCACCTTCAATATAGCATCTAACAATATGATTTTGGTCGGATCTCCCATCCAAGTATTGAACACACGGTACGGTAAGTCGGGTCTGCGGAAAGTAGATATGTATTTAACAAAAATAGATTGGGTAACTCATTCAGCGATAGTGATTTTGATTGTATATTATTACAAGAATTCGTTCTTCAAATAGTATCCACCGGTCTGCATTTTCTTGCTAAAAGTAACAATATCCGGAGAAGTTTCTAGGTCGAAATGTTCGTGACACCACATCTTACCGGTGGGGCCACCGCCAGTCTGCACCTCGTCGATTAGATAGCCCGCGTTATACTATAGATTACATACATATAGCAACAAAATTAATGCCGATTACAATGAACCTATAGGTGTTTTTTTTTTTTTTTTTTTTTTTTTTTTATTCAGATCTTTCGATGGCTGTTCTAAAATTAACTGACCTTTTTGGCAATCTTTTGAAGCTTTTGGAAGAAATACGGCGATGCATGGTTGTCTCCACCTTCTGACTGGATGGGCTCCACTACGATTCCGGCCACGGGGTTGCCTTTTTTATCCCATTTCTCTATCAGTTCCTCCACCTGTAGGAACAAAGTCGAACAGACCGAATCTTAAAATTTACTTATACTTAGTTTACAAAAATAAATTAATTGTAATAACGAACTTTTTTTGTTTTAACAACTACAGTATTTACACATTTGAACGAATAGTAACTCAATTATTAAAATGTTTATACTATCGATAAGTCCTCAAAAATGATTTTACAAAAATATGAAACATATATAATACCGTATGTTGGGTTTCTTATACTTGTAATATTTTTATCAATCAGAAATATCGATATAATAAGATAAAATTACTAACATTTCCAAGGCAAAATAGTTCCCATGATTCTATTATTCTTATTTCTTATTACTACCTACACAAAGTTAAATTACATAAAAACCACTCGTTATTCGTATTTTGAATTTGATAAGCTAAAATGTTTAGGAAAACTATCTGCTAAATAATTTATATTATAGAAAGGGGAGTTTTCGTTAAAAAATAGAAATTTGTAACTTTACAGGATACTTCTTAAGTAGAATAAAAAAATTAAAATATCAAAAATTTAGTCTTTAAGTGAGTTTATTTAAACATTTCAAAAATTAGATTTTTTATAACTATATTATTAAAGAAAAAAACTTAATGAATTATTTTTTATAGATAGGATGTATTCATTAAAATATTTATGCGTTAAATTTCACTCACTTCAGCCAAGCAACGTTCGTCTTCTTGTTCATTTTCTCTGAGATTCTCATGCAACGGATACTTGTACTCTGGGAATCTAGCCATCGGCCAATCGAACGATGGCACGTCTAACTTGTGCACATACTTGGAATGTGTGGTGGATAAAACACCTAATGTACGGCCGTGGAACGAACCTTTGAATGACAGTATGGACAACTGTGGCGAGCCAGGGGGCATGTTAATCATACATGACTCCTTTTCCAGTTCTGTGAAGTTCGAAGTACCTCCTCTCTTGTCCCGCTGGTACTTCATGAACATATTTTTGTATGCGTTTTCGTTGGAACAAGACCCACACATCATTGTTGTTAGAGAGTCCATGCCTTTAGGCGCAACCTTTATATATATAATAAAACATAATACGAACACTAGTCAAATTATGATCATAAACCATATTTATTATCAATTATTTTAGAAATCAATAAAATCATGCTACTCTTACATGAAATTTTGATCAAAACAAATAGCATTGAATTCATAAAATATTCAAAATAAATTTTTAAGATTTATAGTATAAAAGAAAATTCATTTATGGTTGACATTTGCATCTCCTATGACATTAAAGTCAAGTTAAACAATGATTATTTAATGACTTATGTATTCATATACTATTGAATAATAATATAGTTTTGTCTGGAAATACTCTCAAAAATAAGTTTCATTATTCTTTCTAAATATTCATCTGAAATCAATCTACTATCCTTACAAAATATTATCGCTAAAATTATAGACTTGATTACACACCTATTATCTTCCTTGATATTAATTATGAGTTATGACTTTTATTTTGATAGCTTATCTTTATTATGTACAAATATTTTAAACTTATTTTAACTTAATTATTTAAATCTTTTCTATTGAATTTATAATTATTTTTGATTATTATCAAATATAATATGATATCATTCAGTATGATATCATTCATAACATCTAATGTTTAATTTTAATTTGCAGTTTATCTTATGTTTTTTTTTTTTTTTTTATAAATGCTTAAAGTTATATTATTTTATATAGTGTACAATACATTTTGTAAATATTGCTGGGCTTGCTCTTCAAAGCAATGTCAAAAATGAATAAAATTAATTTTTTTTTCTTATCATTCTTGTATTAATATTATATTAGGTGTATCCTGCTATAGCTATTTCATAGCATACTACTATATTTCACTCAAGTAAAGAAACAAATTCGGTAACCGATTAATGTGCTGGGGCGTAGTTAAACAACCCGGCAGACATATAAATGATGACTAAGTGAAAAGGAAAACGGGTGTTGGCTGATACCCGCCTAATGAAAACTGGTTGCTGCAGACTATATTTCTTAATTTGAACAGAGTATACCTAAGGTATTTAAAAAAAAAACTTACACTCATCAACGTGCTTCGTAATTTCATTGGCCAATCAGCAGCAGGGAAAACACCTAACGCAGGACGATTGACAACAGTTCTCTATTACGACAAAAAGTATTAAAATAACAACATAAAAACATGTTAATATAATATGAGAAATAAATTAACATCGTTATTTGGTATACAAAGTTATCAACTATTTTATATTTATTGATATTATGATTTTAATGGTTTACACTACTATTTAAAGTAAATCTATTGGGAGATACTTATATAGTTAGAATACCTAATGTATTATTATAAATAATTTAATTAATTATTTAGTAGCAATATAAATATAATGATAAACTTTTTTTTTCCTGTTTTAACCGACGATGCCGCGGGATCTGCTTTCGCATTGCTTCCGCGGCGCCGCCATCAAATATAATGATAAACTATACTTAGTAATATTGACTGTCAACCCGTATTTTATCAAAATAATTTTTCGTTTGTAATATTTATCATTTAATTTAAATTTAAGACACATAATGAATTATTTGGTATTTCTCAATAACGAGGTAAACTCGACACTCATATTCTCCTTTTTAAACTTTTTTTTTTGTAACTTAAATTTTGTATAGAACTGTTGAATAAATGCGATGAAATACAATATTTTGGTTATTTTATTTCTCTTGAGTGATTCAAATTTGGAATAAAATTAGGTTACGTTCATACTTTGTTCTCGTCGCTATCCAACATTTTCAACATGTCCGGATGGTTGTAACCCAGTGGCATTGACGATATTTGCATGTATACGTCCAATAAGACATTACCATCGACGTCAACCAAGTAGTTACCCAGAGATTTGTTGTAGTCGGCGAATAGTGAAATCGAACTAGATTGCTGATAACACATAATAAGATTTTAGTTACAGAAGCAATAATTAACTTCTAAACAATCTAAACAGTAGTTAATCACATTTTGTAAAACTATATATCGTGAAGTATGATTTTATTATTCACATATTATAATTGTATTATTTCTGAAAGTAATATATTATTTGTATCTATAGATATTTATATCTATAGAAACAAGATGTAAATTCACTTTTGAGAAATCTGCATAATTTATGAAACGATCTATCATATTTGTCAATAATTAAAGTATTAAACCAATATTATTTTGATATGTCTGTAAAATCTACAAAAGTATAATTTATATTTTTGTATTTGAAAAATAAAAAACTATGAAAGTTCAGACTAACAAATATAACTAGTATAATTTTAAATAATATCTCCTACATATTTTATAGACCCTCATTGTTGGGTGTTTAATTAGTACACTTTATTTATTGAATTAAACAACACTCTTCCTGTCGTAAAATTAATGTGAATCAAAAAACATGATCTCTGCATTATATAATATGAGTAGATATCAAATGACAAATAATATAATATGTTAAACAAATGATTATAGATCCAATTATTGTCTCACCTGAAATTGTGAAAGCTCAGCGAGAAGTTTTTTTGACTTTGGTCCGGGTATCGACGTTTCAACCGACGGTGCAGCATATTCTCCGGGACATAATGAAGATACCATTCTCACTAAAACATCGAAATATAATGTATTATTTTAAATAAAATAAAATTATTAGACGCTATGCTCTTTTTATTTAATACCTAATTAAAAATTTGTCTACAATTAATTATTATTTGAAACAAATAATTTTGTTTTTAACTATGAGTATATATAATATTTGATAATGCATCAATTCGATGAAAACTTAGTACAAATCAAAGAAAATTTGTTACAAAAACTAAAAAGTATACTAAAGTATTATAATTTGATTAAGGTTGCAAAAATATTCTGTATGTAATACGTTTCTAATACAATAATAGAATATATACATATCAATTAATATTTAAATCTCTAGTTTTAACGTAGTTAAAATTGTTAACAGCATAAAATAAACAATATTTCAATTTTATAAGCTAAAAACACTTGACATGGTTTCAGAAAGATTTATACAATTTGTACATTGTGTCTTACAAATTACAATATCTAGAAATTAATTTTAAAATATGTTTATTTTATAACTTATAACATAAATAAATATTTAAAAAAAAAACTGATTTTTTTCGGAACTATTGAGGTAAATTATAATTGTTTTGTATGCTTATTGCTCATTTCCCGGGTGCTAGGTATACTTATAAGTTATAAATAATAAGCTAAAATATGCAGACTTTACATTAACAGTTTAAATTTATACATATTAAATGGGTTTTTTATTTTTTTATCATTTAAGACATGTTATAGACATTTTTGATGCAAAGCTACTATATTTAATATAAAATTAAGGGAATTAATAGTTTATAGTATAATGACTATAATATGTTTATATTATAAGTATATATTTTATTAAAACGAGTGTATAATTAATTAAAATTGGTTATTTTGATAAAAAATATAATAGGAATTGGTTTTAACTAATTATTATGGATAAACTAGATCTGAATTTTTGTAGTGATTAGCGTGATTAATAGTAATTAGTATTGAAAATTAAAGTAAGTACCTACATCATATTTTTTTACAAGCTAATGATTAGTCAACAAACAATACACTTCTCAATATAACATGCACCGATTAAACCTATATTATATTGTTTGATATTGGTAAATTATCTGATACTTATGTGAAACAAGTATTTTGAAAAAATCATATATCCTCATAGATAATTACAAATTATTAGTTAAACAATCAGGTGTTTAAAGAAAAAGCAATATTAGCCTCAACTTGGTATGCATATGTATTATATTATACAGGAATACATTATAATAACTGAGTTAGACATCAAACCCCGGAACTCGGCCATCTGCTTATGTAAATATTTTTTTGACCTTTGTTTGCCTACATTAATCTTTACTAATATTCTAACTGAAGTCGATACTGATATACCTATTACCTACCAATAAATTAATTTTTACTTAGAAAAAATAATACAATCATATCGCTTCAAACGATTGTAATTAATGTATAGAAACAATGTATGTATATATGGCTTAACCAGTACTCAGTAGTAGATATAGTTATATTTCTATAATATTTCTGCCAATAGGTAGTTGTGTCTACCCATATCATCTAACTAGCTAAACAAATATAAACTTGATCAAAAAATAATAAATTGGTAAACTGTTTTGGACCATAATAATATTTTCGGTAGTAAGTTATTTACATGGGTAACATTATAAAGTAATACTAAGTATAGAAAATACAAAATAATTATATTATTGTAACATTTTTTTTCAATTATTCACTACGGATATTATTTAAATTTGTTTTTATAAAAATGATTTACAAATAACTTAATCGTTGAAATTTTTTTCTTCGGAAACATGTATATAACAATAAAAACAACTAAGTCATACATTTATTACAACCACTATTTAATAGATAACTATATGATACAAGCATCAATTATAGTTATCTACCTTTATACTGTAAGTCTATGACCTAGCAAAATGTGTAAAATAAATTTTCAAACACACGAACTAACGTGAAAACGATTTTATTCAGTAATTATAAAGCGTACCTATCGCCAACTCGTACATAATAGTGACGTCAAGTCATAAAACTTACTTGGTGTGCCGACAAAATATTTGGCCACCGTCGCCGCTGGACGGGCCACGTCTTGGAATCTATGCATAGCTGAGTGAAGTTTTTTTTAATTATATAATTATTAGGTATTATAATAACGACGCGTTCGTATGCCACCAGCGGATTTTGCGTTTCGATGCTACGGCGTAGGAGATGTACGTGCAGTACGACTTCGGCTCGTTTGAAAATTTGAAATATTATTACTTTGATATTGTCGTCGAATCGCGTGGTACCGGTTTATTTTACTGCTCAGATCCTCGCGTTTAATATTTATAGATATGCGAAATAGGCTTTATCGGAGTGGCGGTATACAAAGCTGGTACCATGTAGGTAGATAGGTTGGTACCGTCCGGTCTACACCGCAATGGTGGTGTTGATGAGCCGTCGTTGTGAGTATGACTGTGCG